ATAAGCTTTACAGTTAGATTTTTGCTGTGCTCTTCAGCATCTCTCTCTAAAATTCCAAGATGAGGTTAATGAGCTGATATCTTCTTTAATTTTGTCCTTCATGATGATGATAAGCTCTGCAGAAGTTGATATTATCTTGGTATGCACATCGCATGTAGGACCTTTCGTTGCCTCCCCATCAGCCAGATGCTCTGAGATGAGCTGAGATCTTGCAGGTAATGCAGCACCATAACATGCAAATGAGCCTGATTCCACGCCAGCCAGAGTTAGTAATGACGCGTGAAGCCACTGGACTGTAAATATATTGCAAATGGACATTTCTACTGGTACTTCTTTGAGTGATGGTGGAAAGAGAAATCACTGCGGCGCTGATGGCAATGAAGGTTATGACCCATATCCTCATCATCACCGTGAATGTGTTTATCACTGTCTGCATCATCATCATCATCATCAGCTTTCCTGTAGGTAGTCAGTGGTACATGAGGCACACTGAACCCCTTCATAAACTTCTGTCTATATAAAGATATCATAATTACCTCACCTGAGAGCAGGAAATAGCTTTCACCATAAGATTAATAGTCCACCTCGGTGTTCAGTTTCACTGCCACATAACGGGTGGTTTGATTTGAATCTAGATTAAAGCGTGGAAGGTGGAACAAGAAACTTGTTTTGAGGCAAAAGGAATTGGAAGGGATTAAAAACATTGCACAAAATTGCAATTGACTGGCGTTAAAGGTATATGCGCTCAATTGAATCATGAGCAAATTGCTGAGGGATCGGATGAGTTGGGTGAGCCAGTAAGAAGGAAGAGACAGACTGTTAAAACATGTTTTTGTCAACACCTAAGCAGAGGATAGCTAGATTAGAGGACGTTGTGTTTAATATGCGACAGGGGGCCTCCAGTGAAGCTGTCCCGTCTCCTGCTTTTGCACTTTGTCTTTCTGGCGTCCGGGTCTGCGGCGTGTGTTTGTGAGGGAGGACGAGGAGATGAGTTCACGTGAGTCGCGCTGCGTGCGTGACCTTACATGCTAACTAGGGAGAGCAGGAGAGAAAGCAGCAGCACGCTACAGAGGGACAAAAGGGGGGGGACTGGCACACGCACAAACAAACACACACATCTCTCTGAGCCAGAGTAGCAATCCTTCTTCAAATTTGTGGCCAGCTGAGGCACAGCGACAAGGTGGATATTTCACTGTTGGATCGCTGCGCCGTCTATTAAACTAACGTGAGGAGTCATTTAAGGTGCTTCTGGAAGAGGGACCTCGAGGGAGGAAAGAAGAAGACGTAGTAACAATGCTTTGAGCGAATTACCCCTTTTGCAGTTCTCTGCTTATTCAGAACTTCAGCTACAACCAGTGACGATATTCAATGATTATTGTTAGCATCAGAAAGGGAGGTATTAAAATAATGTGCTCATAGAAAAAGTATTATTGCTAAAACTTCTTTCTGAGTAAAAGTTTTAGTTTTATATTTTTTAAGGAAAGGTCGCACCACCAGTGGAACATCGGGAGCTTTTTTTGTCGAAACAATGGACAGAACCATGCAGTTGCTGTACAATGGCCTTCCTCAGCGTAGTCTCTGACGCTACGGTATGTTGCTAGGAAACGAGCCTTCAGCGCCATTAAGTCCTCCTCGATCGTCTCCAGGTTCAACTCCCCTGATTGCCCTTATTCTCAGAGCATAATGCAACCTATGTACTCGGTATTTCTGCCCCACTGAGATCCTGAATGCCCCGTGAGGGATCATTGTCATGAACGACGTAATACGTGACATCTCAGCGTGGGTACGTGTTGCTCGTTCAAAGCGGTCGACTCACCGGGAAAATGTCAGTCAGACCCAGCATACAAAGTACAACAAAACACATAATAACCTGACTTAGCTGGTTCGGTTTGGGCGGCTGAAAGTTTAGTGAGGTTTGTGAAATTTCCACTAAAACAATGCATGGAGGAAAACATATTTAAGTCAATGTTGTGCACTGTTTACGATGATTTTATCCGTATAGCTTCAAAGAAATGAACCCCTCTGAGGTGATACATGGTGCTGGTAAAGGCCTCTTCTATCAACTTTCCTGCAGTTCGTCTGTTTATGGGCCGGCAGGCATGTTGTCTGACTCCTCTGTAACAACAGCAACGTCTTCCCACGTAACATGACACTTGCTGCGCCGCATGCCGTCATGATAGACAGCACGTAAACACCTCCACAGAAACCACAGCAGCCAGTGTGTGTGGGCTCACAGTCGCAACAACAAACCCTTTGCAGAACAGATCCCTCCAAAACAAACCTGAGGGAGAAGATGCTGTGAAATGTCCTTTTGGCCATCTGTGGACTTGAATACCAAACGAAAAGATCAAAATCATGTGCATCACAGGGGGAGCAGTTGGTGAGGTAAAGGAGGTTTAAGCATGTTGCAGTGCTTCCATTAAATTGGCTGCGGGAGCCAGAAACACACACTTCCCGTTGCAGATCACAACGCGGCATCATCCCGTTCCCGTAACCCATTGAGGAACCCAGCGCCTGCGTGGCACACCATCGACCTCGGTCCATCGATGGCCTCAGCTGTCGTGCAACGTTCTGTCTGCTGTACAACGTGTACCTGTCTCTCCCTCTGATCTCGGGTCGTGGTTGTGGCTCCCCAGGTGGAGTCACAGGCGAGATGAGACCATCTATCAGAAGGGTTTGATCCCCTTTCTGCTGGCTCCGTCCTACACACTCGTGCTGTGCGGCGCTGCACCGAGACGGTGCACCATCTGCCCGTTTCAGGCAAGGTCTCCTCCTTCCTCACGGTCATCAAGCACTGCTTAAAGGTGCAAGACCCCCACTGGCTCCATTCAACCTCCATACAAACGGTTCAGTAAGTACGCAAAAGAAAAGCCAACTACAATCCGTAGAGCAAAAAATTTTTTAAAACTCAACTGAACTGTTTGAACATGGAAAGCCGGTCAAAATAACACGTTGCAACAATATATAATATATTGAAGCTTTCCTGCTATGGCAAAACATTTGTATTTCTCTCTTTACGAGTTGACTCATTGACAGCTATTGTCTTATTGTCTGTGTCACATTCCTTGTATGTCTAACATACTTTGACAACAAATGTTCCTGATTCTTGATTCCCGACAAAAATTAGCTGGTGGTTGAAAATATAGTTAGAGCTGCCACCTGAAAATGCGTTACTTGAATTATTGATTCATTGTCAAAATGTCAACATCCAAGAGCCCAAGATGACATTTACAAATAGCCCAAAACCTAAAGGCAGAAAAGCCTAATAGACAACCAGGATATAAGAGCAAACAATATAAAAATAAAGTTCAAATCAGCATTGCAAAACGTACACAGGATGATTACCGGTAATGCTAAATACATCTGAGTTCGATGGCGTTTCTCTGTGACGCGTTTCTCATCATACAGTCGTTTGTTATTAACTTTAAATTGGTGCAGCTTTAAACATATTTGCTCAAACTACATTGCGAAAATCTTCGAGGAATTTAATCTCCTTTGCGAGTGGACAAAGGTTAACAACCTCCAAGTACGACGCATGAAAAAGGCAAGATCGTGTGCTGAATAATGCCGTCTTTGATGGAGTCTCTGCATCACTTTCAACACGTGACGCCCACGTTGCATTCAGCGCTGAGGGATATCTGTTCCTTGTTCCCCAGTCGCTGAACGCGACAGAGAGCACAAGGTCTCCACCGAGAGGCTCCTGGAATGGAATATGGAAACACCGGGACACTGTCACACGACATGCAAGCGTGTACAGTCTCACATCCAACAAGTAATGAGGAGATTTCAAAGCTGCACAGAGGTCAGTTCTTCTCCCCCCCCCCCCCTCTTCATTTGAGTGCTCATAGGTGTGACTCCACAAGCTAAGAAACATCAATGGATTGGAAGACATCTGGTGTAAGATGTCCTTTCCGCGATTGTGCCGCCTTCGGTCTGAAGAGCCTCCTGCGCCCCATCATCCGCTTGTTGACCGATAGATGCAGGTCAAAGGTCAATCTCGGCACCCGTTCCCACCCGGAATGAGCTGCAAAACGTTTCTATTGGTTTTGATGACAAGAGCTCAATTCGTATATAAAGATCCCCAGCTAAGGAGCTTTTAAAGCGTCCCCGCGGCTTATCTGGGCCGATTGCTGTGAAACCATCTGCCCCCTTCCAAAAAATGAAATGAGTTTGAACCTTTTCTCTAGCCCCGCCCCCCCGGGTTCATTTCTCCTTTAATAGTGGTGATTCTTCCTCCCTAATCCGACCGTTATGAAAGAGACGTGTTATTTTCTCATGGGTACAGAACATTCCTGTCCGCCGAATCTGACTTTCAATTAAATGGATTTGTTACAAACTGATGTTTGGACAACTCGAGGGGGTGGGGGGGCGGGTGGGGGTGAATAGTGCAGACTAATCATTAATACATGGGGCAGGGCAGCGCAGAACATCGCAGACTTGAAGTGCAGGTGGACTATTTTAGCCCAGCGCATCAATCATTAAAACGAGCCAACGCATAGACAGACATGTCGGTGGACAGAAAGAAGGGGAGGGGAGACCACCAGATGTTAATGAAAAATATTTACTATGAAAAATCTTGAAAACATCATGGGGGGAAAAAGTCACGTGACACGTGGCGTCAGACGATCTGCTCCATGCCGACTTGAAGTCAACTTATTACTAATGGATGGAGGAAATGAGTACAGGGAAGGCACCTACAGGTGAAGTACACAGTGTGCCCAGCTCATCTATAAACCATAGAAATGCACCCATTATCCACTGTATCCATTTTAATATTTTACTATTGACCGTCAGTTGTTTTACGTCTACATTCCTTAATTGACCCTTACTCATCATTTCACCCCGTTACAAACAGCAGCAGGCTTAATCCCAAGGGGCCTAAATATTTTATCATGGTGGCACTGGCATCCTGCGGCGCTCAGAGCAGACAGTCATTTGTTAACATTTTCTTTCGAAGACATTTACGCGTTTCGACACAGTAAAAACACAAGACCACGTAGTGAAATATAAATAGTTTATATTTGAGAAAATACCATGATAAATATTTCACATGCCTCTATTTTCCATATTTAATGTCCGTATTGTATACCGTCAAATGCCTTTACATGTAATTGTAACCATCAAACTGTCGTTTAACATTTTACTGATGTGCCATTCTTTCAAATACTTTAAAAGGTTCTTTTTTGGTGGTTCTTTGGACTTGACAGATCTTGTAATAAACTACCTGAAGAAATATCACATTGAAAGCTTTTCACAGAATATGTTTTGTCGTAACTGATCATTTTTATCGTGTCACATGAAACACCTCATGTGTGGTGAGGTTTCTCCCTCCTCAGAACTGGAAAACCTATTTCTTACCAGTATCGCAGCGTTAAGGCTACATGTACGTTTATCACAATGGGATCTTTTTGTAGAGGGATTATTACAACCAGCCTGTCGTGTGCTAATCTGTCCTGCTGCCCTTGAAAAGAGAGACATTATAAAGACAAACATCTGCCAATTCAACTGCGGTATGCAGATAACAGACAGCTTTCAATATGCCATCTTACAGATGCAATGTAAGAGAAGTAGAATTTAAGGAGGGATGTGTACCCAAATACAGTAAACTACACAATGGAAGGTCACAGTACAAAAAAAGAACGCTCGCAGTATTAGCCGGACATTAGAAACATTGATAAGCTACCTGGACACTTAAATGCCATTTGACCTTTCCCAAAAACAGTATGTATGTGTATCAGCACCAGCACACATATAGATGATTCATACACATATACAAACAGAAAAGAAAGTGATTCTTTGGCCTGTGATCCTACAATGCCTCTCAATTATTGATCAAAAATCCTTTCAACATTAATGCACATTTTGAGAAAAGAGCAAACATTCTACTTTCTATCCACTTTCTGTAATTTGGCATAATGTCAGGAAACACTCCGGCATGCCAACGCTTCCAGAAGGGGACCAATGATCGGGGCCGGAACCATCAACTTGCTGGAGGTTTTCGTTCATCATCAAACATTGCCAAGCTCGCCCATTTCTAGACCTTATGCTAAGCTAAGCTAGCTGGCTGCCGGCTGCAGCTTCATATTCAGAGAGCAGACAATGAGAGTGAACTTTGTCTCAAAAAGCCCTTTGTAATGTTAATCCTATTGCTCAGGGCGGCACACCGGCAGCTAGGAGGAGGTTTTCTGTGCGATACGTGTAATCACCTTCAAAATGTGCACGAAATGCTTAGTAAGCAGGTACAGAACCTCTGCTATTTTATTAAATCATGGCTTGGGGGAAGTAAAGTACAACCTGCGCTGCCCACTGATCAGCTGCTGGTAATGATTTGTTTCATCCTGCATCGATACTTTCAACAGAAAACTATACATGCGCTGAAAGGGAAAATAAGCCTTCGAATCAAAGGGGCCGTACGGACATCGGGGGGTGAGGCAGTTCAGATGAGGGGGGTTGGTGTGTTTCTTTTGGCTAAGGGGAGGGTAGTTTGACATTTCCTGGGAGAGCAGGCAGCGATATTCCAGCCCTCCCGGGGTGTCGTTGTTCTCTGCATTAAAAAGCTAGCAAGAATTAAGTCTTACCCTTAAATTAAGTCTTACTTAAGTATTGCTTGCTTAAGAGTCAAAAAACAGCAGGTGGGTGACGAGTGCGTTGACACTAAACGTGTTAAAAAAGAGATCAAGGTAGAACAAAGTATGATATTCCCGCTGATTATGTTCATTTAAACATACTGATCCAGAACCCTTAATAAAGTCATTCTGTCGCTTTTTGAAATAGCAAAAAAAGACGTCCCAGAATTAGAATGAGCACTAAAGACGAGTATTGGGAGGAAGACAATTGACAATGCCACAAACACTAACAGTAATACCGTTAATACTGCGTCACGTGATCTGGAGCCTGAAGCGTTCTTTGGTGTCTACAGAGGATTTTGTGACTGAGGTGCTGCACAAAGCATTCCATCGCAGTGACGCGTGTTTTTTTGGTACTGTTCTCACCATTGTCATGTACTGCGGAAGGACTGCGTTGCTTGTCAATTAAACCCCAAAGCAGAGTCACACAGCGCACAGATTGATGTCCTGTGTTTTTTTACAATTACTTGGTGTTCGTGCTGAGTTCGGCGCTGCAAAAATCAATTTCAACAGCATGCACGCAACACCCAAACAACCCCCCTGCTGCCCCCCCCCCCCCTCCCCCAAACACATACTGTGTATTGTGAGAAAAGTTCAGTGAGATGTGTAGTGTAAACTGGGAGACTCATCAGTCAGGCAGTAGATTCCAGCGCTACTGGTGCAGGACGGCAGCTGGAGCAACGTTTCTCTCCTGCAGTTTATACCTAAGAATCTAGGTAATGTAACACAGAACAAATAAATACAACACATAACATGCTTGTAAAAGTTAAAGGCAAAGTTGTGGTTATTAGTGCTCGAACAAACATGCTAACTAGTTTGATGAAAACAGTTTTCTTAATTGCACTTGAAGGTAAACCATTTGGGTGAGATGATTCCATATTTATACATTAACGGCGGTTATGTTCTTGATGTCTACCATAATTGGAATAAATGCGAATTTTGCGAAAAAAAATGAAAAATTGAATTTTGCGCTTTACTGCCCGCGGAAACACGTTCAACCCAGCTTGTCCCGTGTGTCCTGGCCGTAGAGAAGGACCTGCAGCAGGATGGCCACATCGATTACGATCTGAACCGACCCGCAAACCCAGAACTGAGACGGGCTTTCGTTCATCACGAAGTAGGAGGTCTTGAAAACGTCGCCGGCCGTCCACAGCAGCACCATCTTCACACTGCAGCAGCGGGGACACAGAGAAGCAGACAGAGCGGGGAAGGTGTGAAGACACTCAGAATTAAGTTTTCTCCCAAAGGAAAATGTGGGTTTTTACAGTTCCCAATATGTATGCTAAGCTAAGCTAAATCTGCTGGCTACAGCTACATTCTTATTACATTACACTTTACATTTAACTGCTGTTATGCAAAGCATTGGACAGCATTGGACAAAGAGGGTCTCGACCCAAGAAAACAATTTCTTGCAGATGTTATTCCTCAGCATGAGAGTGGTGTCCATCTTCTCATTAAACCCACATTTTTCAGTATTCTCCCTTCCATGGAAGTTCATCAGAACCCAATATAAAAAACTGCATTAAAAGTAAAATAACAGCAGCTAAAGATCCCTTGACAGATTTTTCCCAGCATCTTCATTTACTTCCAGCGGTGTGAGAAATATCTGGATTGCATTAAAAAAAGAAAATGAAAGAAATCAATGAGCTGCAGGAGTCTTGTGAAAGGTTATCCTCGCATCCTTTACTCCTCCACTTTTTCTTCTCCCCCCCCCCCCCCACACACACACACACACACACACATTTCTTTCGGCGCCGTCTCGAGTCGTTTACCGTCGCGTTCCTTTCGCCCTTACGCCCGATTCATTCTCCCGCCGCTGTGCTGCTGTGCGGGAACCTCTCATGTAGAATCTCATTTCTTTTTTAATTTGGACACACAGTTGCAAAATCGTTAGTCAGGTGGTCTTTGATTTATGTTTTTGGATTCAATCCAACGGTTCCACATCAATTTCGCCCGACGCAATTCCGCGCCTGGAGAAAAAAACTATTATGGAAGAATTGGACAATGAAGTGAAGCTCCGACGCTTAGAATTGATACCGGTGTTATTTTTGAAAACAGACTCATGTCCAATTAGACGTCTGCTGTGTCTGGCAAGTGCATGTTTTCGGGAGGTGCATCTCTTTAGCTCTCTGCAAGTTTTGCACACCAACAGTGATGAATTATAGATCTCCTTCTCTACCTGCTCTCTGCTCCCTCGGTTTATTCTGGCTCTCTGGACAGCCGGTGTCCCACAGGGATGCATGTAATATGAGTTTGTCCTTTTTCTTTTTTTTTTATTAGTGCTGACTGGGCTTGGGGACGGAGCGGGACCATCAGTCATCAGTGAGACATAGTGTACAGGAGGACGAGACGGAGCGCCGGAGCCTGCAGAGGACAGTATTTATTTAGCAGGCAGTAAGAGAGAGGCGGCGCAAAGACGACAAAACCAGCAGAGAGAAAGACGGGGACGGCTGTGGGTGAGGAGGAGACCCGCGTGAGATAGATATGGGAAGATGGCTGCAGCCTAATGACTTTGGGGACAGCTTGTCCGGTATGCTGTCCTTGAGCTCTCCTCGCAGAGTCATGTCGAACCCCCCAACTGTCCCCGGGCTGCCTCCAGGTCCAACACTCCGTCCCCGGCGTGGAAGCGAGGACATCATTACTATCACTGTTGTGGTATCGAAATGCAATGAACAACCCAAACTGAATCAGGCTGCAAACTGTGCTGTGGGCTGCACAGCTACAGGAGCTTTTTCTTCATATCCAACGTGTCTTTTTTAAATTGTTTACTTATTCGGTGATTGTAATAAACAAAAAAAGAAGAAATGGAAGTTGTATTGTAATGTGTTTTATTCTCCTTCTGGTTCATACTGACCATGTCTGTGGTCATTTGATTGGACCAATATCTGTGTGAGCGGATATGAAAAACAGTCTGCACCAGTTTGACACCAGTACCATCCGTTTGAATGTGTGGACACAACATTACTCCTCGTTGTGATAAGACACCCAGTGCCTCGCTGTCACGGTGTGGTTCACTTCATGTTATATTTTGTAGTTTTCTGCCACTCGTGTCCCCGGGTAACTTCACTTCCTGCCTTGTCATGTCACCCCGTGATCGTCTTAATAGTTTCCACCTGTGTCCAATCACCTGCACCTCCCATGTGTGTCTGTTGTCACTGGTCGCGTCATTGTCTTTCGCCACGCATGTCCTTGTCTCTCGTTGTTCGCAGTTCCTGTCTCCCGTTTTGTCCCTTGGCCTTTGCTTTAACCTTTTTGACAATTAAAGTCCCTTTTGTTTTTTAACTCTACCGTCCCCGCAATCTCTGACACTCGCTTACTTGACTATGAGATTTGAGAGGTCCTTTGCTGTCGTCCTGCTGGGCCCCATGGTGCTTTTAATTGATTAATTGACTCTCTAGGCTCTCTGGGTCTTGGACGTCTCACATGGCAGAAGAACCATCATGCTACGCGCTCCTCGGGGGTTTGTCCTCCCACCATTTCTCTACGACTGAAGTTCACTGATTCACAAGCGGAATTGATTTCCTATAATGTTGACACAGTTCTCAACAAAACTATAAATATTTTTCACCCATGATCAGTGTTTTTTTTCCGCCACGCTCGACTTGCCGGGGAATGACCAGTAGCTTATGGAGGCTTATGACGAGAAACCGATAATGCCGAATAAAAGACACAACGGTGTCAGTTTGACCGTCTCTGTGACTCCCGTATACTTCTGCTGCAGTTACACTTTATTACTCACCCTTAACTAGCAGACAAGACAAAGCCAATCTGCTGCTGTCAACACACAGCATCCTCCCACCTCCAATTTAACCTCAGGCTTTGGCAAGAATCAGGCTGTTTGCACCTCTCCCAGAGGACGACCAAGGAGCGCTTGTTTACAGCATGTTTGAGCCTCACTGATGTGTTGTCCTCTCCTAACAATTTAAACCTTCAGTAAGAAAACAAAACAGCACAAAAATGGCATTGGATTCCTCCAAAAATAAATGCTAAAGAATTTTAAATTGTTACGCTTTTACTTTTCTCTCTTAAGGTGCCGGCATTTCTCAGGGGAACTACTGAGTTCCACTGAAGCTTTTTGTTCATCAGAGGGCACCGTTTGCTGAAATTTGGATTCCTTGCTTCATCGCTCTCGTCATATTTTACTTTTAACGCGCCACTTTCTTCTTTCCCTGTTGTCCCGCTCGACTGCCATCTTTACTTTTATTGCCTCTGGCTTTGGTCCACTTACCTCTTCCCTGTAAAAGGGAATAAGATGTGGGGCTTGTCTCAGCTTGCATGATAAAGCCAAATAATGAAGTTGCGTTTTACGGCACAGCGAGACCGCTTGTTGGAACAATTTGTACCCAAAACAACTTACATTTAAAACTCGGCAGAACAACGCAATTATAAAGAACACTATTAATATACAATACTTAATTCATTGGAGGCAGTTTTAATTTCCACCATTTGTCAACTTTATATTCTCACATCCCTCACGTTTATAACAGTGTGTCCTCCGTCTCTCCAAAGCCCTCCAACTTTAATTTCTTCTTCTTCCTCCTCTCAGCCTATAACCTGCTCTTCTTCCCTGCCTCTGCCTGACCTCCCTGTTCCCCCCGTAGGCTCATTTCTTTGCTCAAGAGACGGCAAACATCATTAACGAGGATGAGTCATTAGCAGTGTAATTAAGCGGGGCGGGTCGTCTGTGCAAAGGCAGTCTCTGAAGCGGCGCTGCAGAATGGGGACAAAATGCCAGTTTGAGGTCACTCCGGCAGGAACACACACACACACACACACACACACACACACACACACACACGTGCATGCATGCACGCATTTCACGCGCGTTTGTTTGTCATGCTAGTCCCGTGTAGCTCCATCCATGGGACCTCAGCTGACAGGTGATGAAAGACACGGAGAACAAACGCTTGAACTTGGTCTCGAGCGAGGCGTTAAGTGTCCACCGGGAAAAGGGAGTTAGTATGGAGTCGATTTAGAAATATTGACCGACGACTCCGGTGTCAAACACGCCAGCAGGCTCCACCGTCAACAAGCATGTGCGCCAGCTCGCTTCAACTCGCACCAAGACACTTTGAAATGCAGATTGACGGAAAAACGCAACCCGTGGACGTCTTCATTTGATCGATGTCCTCTGCACACATGCGTACGCGCACGCACTAAACGCACTCACGCTGACTCATTTCAGCTCAGCCTGGACAAGTCTCTCATCGATTGCCGCCGACCTGACGCCTTCATCTGAGCAAGTGGCGAGAGGTGAGAGAGGAAAGGGTGCCAGGATGCAGAGAAAAATGAGGGAGCTCGAAGATGGATGTGGGAGGATGGAGGTAGAAAGGAAAATGATGAAAGATGGACGACAATGTGTCCCGGAGACGGGTCGATAAATCTGGTGAGAGACGAACCCACTCTGATAGTTGGAGAGTAACAGGACCGGGGGAAGCGGGGGGGGGGGGGGGGGGATCTGATTGCATGGTGTGCTGTATGTGGGCCACCAGCGAAATGTGCCGTTTGTTGAACGAGAGCTGACAGGCCGGCTATTAGCTCCTCTAAGCGGCTGGCGTGGACAAGTGGAACACTAAACACCGGAAGGGGGGGGGTGAGTGACATTTGGAAAGAGGGACAGAGAAAAGGGAGAGGCAGGGAGTTAAAAAGGACACGAGCGGGGTCGCTGCATTTCCGACGGACCGTGATTTCACGGCCCAAAGATCTTTAAATGTCACTCTGCAAAGCAGCATCTTATGGCGGGTTGAAGACAACTGCAAGGCTCAGCCGTTTCCAAATCCGTGCTAGAATTCTATCCATCCAACTGATGCCCATTTCTGTATTTGTCCAATTCTGTAAAGTCCTTGCATCCGTTACTTCTTCCCTTACGCCATAAAAAAACATCCACCAATTGTATCAGCACCAATTATTGGATATGCAGTGAAATATGGAAAATAACTGTCCAAAACTCTATAAGCTAATATCTGCAGAGGACACCTTCAACTTTTAGTGGATTAAAAAGACAAAAAATTGATGGATGCAATTTCTAACCATCCATTAATGAGTGAAGTTACACCTTACAACCCTTGATCTTCTTCCCATTAACTCCTCTGTCTTCAACCTGCCTCTAAATCCTCACACACGGCTTCATTTCTCTTTTCTGCCTCTACTACTGTCAACTGTTGTCTTG